GGTGGATATGAAGCTAGGGTAAGAGAGGCCCAGGGTCCAGGGGTCCTAACTTGTCTCTGACAAGCACTGTATTCTTTCACCATACTTACTCAATTTGTATGCTAAACAAATCATCCAAGAAGCTGGATAATATGAAGACGAATATGGCATCAGGATTGGAAGAAGAGCCGTTGTTGTTGTTAGGTGCCATCCAATCAGTTCCGACTCATAGAGACCCTGTATAGCATTTCCGAGAAGCAGCTGGTAGGTTTGAACTGCCAACCTTGTGGTTCACATACTAGTGCTAATTCCTACAGCACCACACCAGGAGTCCATTGTTGTTGTTGTTGTTGCTAAGTGCCATCGAGTCGGTTCCGACCCATAGCGACCCTGTACAGGGTTTCTGAGGGTGTAAATCTTTACAGGAGTAGAAAGCCTCATCTTTCTCCCACAGAGCGGCTGGTAGTTTCGAACCCGCTGACCTTAAGGTTCGCAGTTGTTGTTAGGTGCCATCAAATTGGTACCGACTCATAGCGACACTGTGTACAACAGAAATAAACACTCCCCAGCCCTGTAACAACCTCACAATAGTTGCTACACCCGAGTCCACTGCTGCTGCCACTGCGCCAATCCATCTCATTGCGGGTCTTCCTTTTTTTCTCTGACCAAACATGATGTCCTTCTCCAGGGACCGGTCCCTCTTGACAATATGTCTGAAGTATGAAAGACAAAGTCTGGTCATCCAGGCCTCCAAGGAGCATTCTGGCTATATTTCTACCAACACAGTGATTTATCCTTTTGGCAGTCCATGGTACTTTCAATATTTTCCTCCAACACCAAGACTAATGTATCAATTTTTCTACGGTCTTCCTTATTCACTGTACAACTTTCACATGCATATGAGGTTACTGAAAATAACATGGATTGGGTCAGATGCACTTTAATCCTAAAACTGACAGCTTTTCTCTTGAACGCTTAAAAGAGGTCTTGTGCAGCAGATTTGCCTAATGCAGTATGTCATTTAATTTCTTGACTGCTGCTTCCATGAGTGTTGATGGTTGATCTGAGAAAAATGAAGTCTTTCACAATTTCAATTTTTTCTCCATTGATATGGATGTTGTTTATTGGTCCAGTGATGAGGATTTTTGTAGTCTTTACATTGAGGTACAAGTTATACTGAAGGCTGTGGTCTTTGATCTTCATCAGTATTTTAACTTCTCTTCACTTTCAGCAAGCAAGGTTGTATCATCTGGAGATCGCAGGTTGTTAATGAGTCTTCCTCCAATCCTGATATCACATTTTTCTTAATATAATCCAGCTTCTCAGATGATATGTTCAGCATACAGATTGAATAAGTATGTGAAAGAATACAACTCTGGCACATACCACTCAGTATTCCCTTGTTCTGTTCAAACAACTGCCTTTTAGTCCATGTACAGATTCCTCATGAGCACAATTAAGTGTTCAGGAATACTCGTACTTTGCAATGTTGTCCATAGTTTGTCATGATCCACACAGTTGAAAGCATCTGCGTAGTCAATAAAGCACAGGTAAACATCTTTCTGGTATTCTCTGCTTTCAGCCAAGACCCATTGGACATCAGCAATGACATCCCTCATTCCACGTTCTCTTCTGAATCCAGCTTGAACCTCTGGAAGTTCTCATCAATGTACACTCACAGTATGCAGATGACGCAACCTTGCTTGCTGAAAGTGAAGAGGACTTGAAATACTTATTGATAAAGATCAAAGACTACAACCTTCAGTATGCATTGCACCTTAATATAAGAAAACAAAAATCCTCACAACTGGACCAATAAATAATTTCATGATAAATGGAAAAAGATTAAAATTGTCCAAAACTTCAATTTGCTTGGATCCACAATCAACGCTCACTGAAGCAACAGTTATGAAATCAAACGTCATATTGCATTAGGTAAATCTGCTGCACAAAACCTCCTTTAAAGCGTTCAAGAGTAAAGATGTCAGTTTGAAGACTAAGGTGAGCCTGACCCAAGTCATGGTATTTTCAATGACCTCATACACATGTGAAAGTTGAACAATGAAGAAGAAAGATGGTGGAAGATTTGATGCATTTGAATCACGGTGTTGGAGAAGAATATTGAGAGTACCATGAATTGCCAACTGCCAAGAACAAATCTGTGTTGGAAGAAGTGCAGCCAGAATGCACACTACAATCCAGGATGGTGAGACTTCATCTCCTGTACTTTGCACATATTATCATCACCAGGTGAGAACAGTCTCTGGAGAAGGTCATCATGCTTGGAAAAGTGGAGGGTCAGTGAAAAAGATGATAATCCCCCAAGGAGATGGACTGTAACAGTGGTAACAATGGGTTCAAATGTAACAATTTTGATGATGGTTCAGAAGTGAGCAGTATTTTCTGTTTTGCATTATGATTGCTGATTCAGAATCGACTCCACAGTACCTAACGACAACACAAATACCATTCATTGGTCCTGACTTTAATGCTTATCAAAGGAGTTTCACAAGGAATTTAGGTATTCTAAATACTGCATATAACTTTTCTATATTCTGGAAGGATTTCAGTCACTTAACTTTTCCCTTCTTTACTATTTTTGTTAGGTGCTATTCAGTCAATTTCAACTCACAATGACTTCATGTGACAGAGGAGAGCTGGCCTATAATGTTTTCTAGGCTGTAAGCTTTACGGAGCAAGGACTTTGAAGTTACTTGGGGGGGGGGGGTGTCGAATGAATAATAACAGCCAATGACTTACCCATTCAGCCACCTGGGCTCCTTCCTGACTAGGCAGAAATGGTACCATATGTTTATACAAATAATGTTTAAATTTTATTTACATTTACTGATCAGATAGAGACTGGTGAACCCCCAAGGTTGTGGTCTTTGGTCTCCCTTCAAGTCTGCAGCCAAACTCATCACTATAGCTCAATTTTCAGCTACGAAACAGATAGGTATATGAAGGGAACAACTGCACTGATGAGGTTTGCACACCATACAAGGACTGGTCAACCATCTGAAACCAAAAGGGCGCCATTCACATAAGGACCAAATTCAGAAGGGTGGGCAAAGGAGGAATGGCAGCAAGCAGCAGAGGGAGGAAATGGGACTGCAATCTTTGAGAGGGAATGATGTGTAAGGTTTGTTGGATGTAAAACTGAGGCTCTGCTAAAGGTTCGGGTCACCCGACAAGCCAGGTTACTATGAGATTGTCTTGTTTTGTGGCCAGAACAGTATTTAGATACCATGAGGACTTCACTGCTCTATGTTTTAGATTATGGCTTCTTTCAAAAGTAATCTAGAGGCTCTTACAGAAAAAAAGGACATGCCTTGGAAAAACACAGTGAGGTTCATAACTCCCCTGGGGTTCTTAAACCAAGATAGTATTCTGTTTTCTTATTCATGGTTTACTTTGATGAAGAGATGAGGGAAAAGAAACCTGCCCAAGTCCATGCATTCTGATCCATGTATCCTTTATTCCATCACCAACCACCGTGCTGCATCCAAGCCACAGTACACAGACTGGTAAGCAATGGCAATCCAGATGAACAACAATCTGAGGCGTACAGTACATTTAAGGCTTTTAAATTGGAAAAGAATTCAAAAGACAGGCAGTCCCTGTGTTATGAACGCTCAACATATGTGCAGCTCAGAGTCATGAACCATCCCCGTCAAGTTGCAGTACATACAATGGTTTGTAATAACAAACAGGTGCTATTTAAGGGCATCAAAAAATTATCATTACTGCATTATTACACTAAAGATGTCTGAGTGTATCCGGTCCTGTTTCTTTCATGTTTTTCTTATGCATAGAGAGGAATACTAATCCACTATGACAAATATTTTACTGCTGGATATGCACTGTATCTAACTGTTCTGACTTAAGAGACTTAGTGAGAGCCAGGAACAGAACTCGTTCATAATCCAGGGACTGTCTGGTGAAGCCAAGGCCCCAGGCCCCAGCCAATACAAGTAGTGTAGCAACGTTAAGCATCTTACTTTTCTGATGCTTGTCTGGCAAAACTCCAGTGTCAAAAAACCAAATAATCCCTAACTGAAAAACATTAGTGAAAGGTTAATTACAGAAATTTTTTTTTTCAAAGCATCAACTTGGAATTTTTGTCTTGGAAATGTTATAAAATTTTTTTAATAGCAAAACATAGGAATTAAAAACATATTAACAAAATGTATTCAATCATTTACATTACAAACAAGGAATCTGCAGTTCATTGTTGCAGCCTGACAAAAGAAAACTACCCATTAAGAATCTATGCACACTGCCATTGCAAATATGTAGAGTACCTTTAAAAAAAGCCATCCAGGAGGACTTCTAGAAGGAAAGTCTGTGAGGCTCTTTGTTAGAACAAACCAATCAAAATATTAAAACTCTGTTGGCTAGTAGTAAATTTACATTTAAAAAACAAAAACAACAACAATTACCCCAGTTTCATTTTAAGAAGATTTCAGTTATATTGATATGGTTACAGTTTCCAAATGGTCCATGAAGAGCTCCAGTTAAATTATCCTTCACAATTGATTTGTTTGGGGGAAGGATCAGCAATGTTAATGAAAATTAACACACGGACTTCCAATCATCAGTGTTTTCCAGTTACAATATCACAGCTTCTCCAATGACTCGCACCCATGAATCCAGTGGCTTGAACAAGAGCTGCGTGTCATATGCTGAGAAGACTGGTGGAGAGAGGGGTGACCAGCATGAATGAATCAGAAATGATGGGAAGGAGGAGAAGGCAGATGTGTGCACACACTCAGCTCTCACCCCCACCCCCTCACGGACATGAAGCTGGAGATCACCCCCTTTTAACATGTTGGTGAGTTAGTAGTAAAGCCACTTCTAGATGCAAAAGGCTGAGATCGTCTCAGCTCTTTGATTAGAACACCCTAGAGGCTGGGCACTTCTTCATGGTTATTGAGCCGTTACAGTGGTCCAGTTAAAGCATGTGCAGAACAGAGGAGTCTTCTGTTCACAGTAAGTGAGGTGAGACCGAGTGGCCTTCTTCAGGAATTAGGAAGTTCATGTGATATGAACTGTTTTAGCCTTTCGAGGTATTGTGCATAAAGCTCTATGTCATTATGACCTGCCCCTTCGACCCAGAGGGGCTCCACGGCTCGCGGGCAGCGCTCGTACATGGCCAGGCCATGGGAGAAATCGATGACCTCGTCCTCTGTACCATGAATGACCAACACAGGAGAGGTGACTTTAGATATCTTGTCAATGCTGCAAAACAGAAAGGGGGCAGGGACAGAGAAGGGATTCCTTCAGTAATGTTCACAGACAACAGACAACAGGCGTCATACTTAGCAAGTGAGTCAGAGGACACAGGCAAGCAAATGAATGATGTCGTTTTGATTCCCATTTGTTGTTGTTGTTAAGTGCCATCGAGTCGGTTCTGACTCATAGCGACCCTGTACAGGGTTTCCGAGGGTGTAAATCTTTACGGAGTAGAAAGCCTCATCTTTCTCCTGCGGAGCAGCTGGTAGTTTCGAACCGCTGACCTTAAGGTTTGCAGCCCGATTCGTAACCACTACGCTACCAGAGCTCCTGGTTAAAGAGCTGGCTGCTAACTGAAAGGCTGGTTGGTGGATCAAGGCTATTCAGAGATAGCTCAGAAGAAAAATCTGGTGGTCTACTTCCCAAAACTCAGCCACTGACAATCCTGTCGAGCAAGCACAGTGCTACTCTGACACACACGAGGTCCATGAGTCAGAACTGATGCCACAGCATCTGGACTGCTTGTTTTGTTCTGGCTTGGTTTTTTGGCATTCCTTTTTTTTTTTTAAATCAACCTTTTACTTTAGGTAACTTTAGATTTACAAAAGTGTTTCAAAAATAAAAGAGTGTTACTATAGACCCCTAACCCATTTCCCCATGAGGCTACCATTTTAATATTACCACGGCATATTTGTTGTAAGACTAAGAAACCAACCTTGGTACTGTTACCATTCACTACAGTCCAGAATGCTTTCAGATTTCACCAGTTTTTCCACTAACACCCCTTTTCTGTTCTAGGATTCAATCCAGGATACTACATTGCATTTAGCCATTGTGTTTTTGTCAAAGCATTTTATTAAAAACAGAGCTTTTAAATGCCATCAGACTAACAAACCAGTACCTAATAAAACTGACATATTCATATTTACAAGATAGGGTTTGAAACAGGCCAGAATTGATGTATCTGAACAAATGTCTCCTTCAGATGCTGAGTGCTTAATCAACTGCTGCCCTAAAGGTTTTCAGAACTTTTTCTTTCAGAGTCGACTAGCAAGATACTCACAAACCTTCGTTACATAAAAGCTAATGCCTCATTTTTGATCAGTGGCCTGCTTAGTTTGAAATTTTAACGTAATCCCTAGACTTGACTCTAAATAACTTGTGTTTACAAAAACCAAATCTATCCTCAAAGGATGAATGTTTGAGGATCTTCAAGGGAGTGAACTGCAGGCTCTGAAAGTATATTCCAAACAGGAATTCAAAAGATGTTAGGTATTGCAGGACTAGGCATGGGGGAGGGTTACCCAGTAGAGAAATAGTCATGTAAGCATGAGATTAACTCAAAGAGATGTGTCTCCAGTTTGTCCTCCTGCCAAAGTCATCCTTAGAACCTACTTCTCTTTCTGCATTTGATCCTTGTCAAAGTCACAAAGTGATATTCACTAGAACTATCTGTGGAATGTCTTTTGTTAAAAGTAATGTCCATTGCAATCCAGTTCTTCTGATTCATAGCGACCCCGTAGGGTTTCCAAGGCTGAACGTATTTTTGGAAGCAGACTGTCACGTCTTTCTCCTGGGAGCAGCAGGTGAGTCAGAACTGATAATCTTTTGGTTAGCAGCCGACTGCTTTAACTACTGTACCACCAGGATTCCTTACTACAACAGCCATAGTCAGGTGCTTTCAAGAGGCACTTTACAAACAAAATTGCCCTTAATCCTCAACAAAACACAACTGAGAGAAAGGAATTAACAACTCCACTTTACCAAGGAGGAGGCAGGCAGAAGCTTGGCAAGATTCTTAAGTAGCATCAATTACAGATTCCTAAGATCTACAAACAACTGGCTATAAAACAGTCCAGGAAGACGGCCCCGACGTTTGCAAAGATCAGAGCTGCTGGGGGAGCATCCAAATCTGCAGCTGAAGAGTCTTGTTCGGAAGTTTACATTCCCCCGATGTTTAATTTCAAAGTGACTTCGTCTCCTAAGACTTCAGTTATATTCCATTCAAAAAATATCTGCTGCTTAGTGACAAAGGACCTGTAATCCCTGGGTCATACAGATGGTTAATGTTCTCAGTTGTTAACCCCAAACTTGAAGCTTTGAGTCCACCCAGATGCAACTCAGAAGAAAGGCCTGGTGATGGACTTCCGAAAAAGTCAGACACAGAAAGAAACTCTATGGGACAGTTGTGCTCTGACACACTGAGGGTCACATTGGGTTGGCATCAGCAACTGGTTTACAGTGGATCTGGGACTGTGCAGAACGCTGCAAAAGTGAGGTGACTCTCTACTTCCTGGAGGGTATGTCTGAAGTTCAGGGCCACTTGTTTTGATTGTTAAGTGCCGTCAAGTCAGTTTTGACTCACAGCAACCCTGTATAGAGTTTCTGAGGACTGGTGGGTTTGAACTGCTGACCTGTGGTTTCCAGCTAATCCTACAGCGCTACACCAGAGCTCCTGCCTGGCCCTTAAAGGAGGTTCAGGAAACAGATGATCTCCAAATAATGATCAGGACTCATTTTCTTCTTTTCTTTTAGATTAAAGGGAAATGAGGAAGTAGCTTCCTTGAACAAGCTGAACTCACACAGATACAGTTTTGCCGCTGGGCAGCAATGGCTATCATCAGAAAATCGTTTCCGGTTCAATGAATGATGAAAATCAATGGCTTGAAATCTTCTGTCTAAAATAACATACAGTATTGGAAATGAGCCATGGTCCTGGTCTATTGATTTATTTATTGCTCTCTCTACTCACCAACCTTAATTAATTAAATTATTTAATATTCCTTAGCCTGTTTCCTAATAGATGAGTAGAGTCACTGGATCAATTCTGGTAAAATTAAATGGAACGTTGATCGTAAAATACGTAGCCCAAGTCTGGTTTCTTTATCAGGTAAAGATTAGTTGCAAATTGATTATTAATTAATAAATTGCAATCCACTGTCATAATTGTATTTTAAAAATATGATGGTGGTGGTTGTGTGCTGTGGAGTGGGTTCTAACTCATAATGCCCCTGCATAGGGTTTCTGAGGCTACAAGTCTTGAACAGAAAGTCTTATCTTTCTCCCGTGGAATGGCTGATAGATTCAAACTGCTGACCTTTCAGTTAGCAGACTAACTTGTACGCCACTATGCTATCAGGGCTCCTTATTTAAAGTATGGTGTTGGTGTGTGCCGTGGAGTTGGTTCTGACTCATACTGAACCTGCATAAGGTTTCTGAGGCTGTGAATCTTTATGGGAGCAGAAAGCCTCATCTTTCTCCCACGGAGCGGCTGGTAGTTTCAAACCACTGACCTTAAGGTTCGCAGCCCGATTCGTAACCACTACGCTACCAGAGCTCCTTATTTGAAAGTATAACGGGGGTGAAAAATCTCTTCATTGTGTTGCTCTGGCAAGTCCCGCCATTTCTTTCCACAGACATGCTAAATATCTGGTTTTCCACAAATTGGCTTCTCATTACCAATTCAGCACAAATAAGGTCCCATTTGAGACGCACGTTAGTCCCACTTAGCATTCCTAGCCACACCACCATAAATTTGCAGCTCAACTTTCCCATGAAGGGGAATCTGAATGAATCCAGGCATAAACAGCAGAGAACTGAAGTTCACCAAAGGTGTTAACAGAAGACTTCTTCCCGTGAAATGAGGCAGTCTGGGTAACAGATGCATTTGCAATCAAATGATGTACTTGAAAGAAAAATTAAGCCATCCCTAGCAGAACGATAGCAATTAATGGGGTCAATCAAAACCCTCAAACCAGAACATTTCTGTGGAGGCTTTGCCTCATAAATGGCAATACGGAGGAGGAGCCAGTCCTGCCATCCCAATCTTAGGACGCTTGATGAGATTTTGAAAACGTTTAGAGGTATAGTCTGTTTATTACACACAATGTTGTCTTCAACCTTTAGTATTTTTACTATAAGTTGTTGTTGTTGTTAAGTGCCGTGGAGTCGGTTGTAGAACTTTTCAAATGGAGGTATTTAAGAGACCAGTGTGCTGAATGCATTATAGTAAAGCGGTCCAGCTGTCTTCCTTCCTGTCAGAGGGAACTGGAACTGAATGGGTTTACGTCTGCAGAGGCTCTGCCGCCTCTAGGACAGGCAGGCAGGCGACAACCAGGACTACCCCTGTGGAAAGGGGTCCTGGGGGGAAACCCTATCTTGGGTCACTATGACTTTGGAATGAACTTGATGACAGTGGGTATTTTTAAACCCTGTGGGAAGAATCCTGGTAAAATGGGGTGAGCCGTGTGAAGGAAGCCACCCTCAGAAAGTTTAGGAGTGTTTGTGTGTGTGTGTGTGTGTGTGTGTGTGTGTGTGTGTGAAGGGGCGGGTATGTGCTCACGTCCACGGTCTCTGTGGTCTATTTCCAAAGAAACTGACTTCACCATCTTCCAAATTCTGCTTACGAAGATGACATTTCAAAGTTGTGGATATTTGTTGTTTTTTAAATTTGAGTATCTACAGCTCTGGTACCATAGTGGTTATGAATCAGGCTGCAAACCGCAAGGTCAGCAGTTCTAAACTACCAGCTGTTCCATGGAAGAAAGGTGAGGCTTTCTGCTCCTGTAAAGATTTACAGCTTTGGAAACCCTGTGCAGGGTCACTATGAGTCAGAACCGACTCCACGGTACTCAACAACAACAACAGCACTGCTAAAGGAACCCTGGTGGCACAGTGGTTAAGTGTTCTGCTGCTAACTTGAAAAATCGGTGGTTCAAACCCACCAGCAGCAACTCTGCAGGAGAAAGAGCCAAAAGTCTCCTTCTGTGCAGACTGACAGCCTAGGTGGATGGAAGGGAACAGGTAGGCAGGGTGGAAAGAGGGGACTGAGGACAATCTGCAAGGACAGCAACTGATGTCATGGAACAACTTGTGGACGGAAAACGAATTTGCTGTGTAAATTTTCACCCAAAACACAATACAGTGTTCAACACCAACGAAAAAGATGGCAGCGTTGGAAAGCTTAGGGGTAGTTCTTCTCTGTCTGACAGGGTCACTATGAGCTGTATGGCAGTAGATTCGGCTTTGGGGATTTTAAGTTGTTGTTAGGTGCCGTGGAGTCCATTTCGACTCATAGAGACCTGGTGCGCAACAAAATGAAACACTGCCCGGTCCGGTGCCAACCTCACAACTCAATTTTGTTACGTCTGAGCCCGCCGCTGCTGCCACTGTGCCAATCCATTAAAGCACTGCTAATTGCCTCATTAAATAGCTTGCATTTTCCTACTTAAGCTCCTCATGACTCAATAGGGCAAGTCCAGCTAAATGTATAAACAACACTGAAACAAAACAAACAAACCGAGTTCCTTTAGACTATGTGGGTACTTCTTTTCACCCTGTATACATACAGTCAAAGCCCTTAGTCATCATATGAGGAATGTTGAACAAATGAGTCAGGCTCAGGGGCTAAGATTCTCATTAGACTATCCTGTCGTGTTCACCTCTAGTCCTCACTGGCATGCAGCACAGGGCGTATGCTAAAGGCTGCATCAGGTCAGAACTCTGGTCTCTTGACGCTCTGTCATGTGACTCAGCTACTTAAGCAGCTGATTAGCACTTGTTTGATGAACATCAACTTACCTTGGGAAAGCATCAAAACAGTATGTTTTCCTGGTGTCAGGAAAGGCCACCCGCAAGCCGGACATCAGAGGGGAATGGAGAATGACAGCTGCACATTCATACCGCGAGGCCAAGTCTACCGTGGGGACTGTCCCGATGCTCTGCCCATACAGGATAATGTTCTCAGGGCTTACACCATACCTGGAGAAATCAGAGTGCACCATTAGTTTCTATAGAGAGGAAATGAGAGAGACAGTGCCCACCATGTCCTAAATCCACAAAATGTCCATACCTATCATCTTAAATACCAAATGGTTTAAAATCAGCGAAAGTGTGTGCCAGGGTTGTATTCTTTCATCACACTTATTCAATCTGCATCCTGAGCAAATAATCCGAGAAGCTGCATTACATGAAGAAAAACATGGCATCAGGATGGGAGGAAAATTCATTAACAACCTGTGATATGCAGATGATATACAGCCTTGCTTACCGAAAGCGAAGAGGACTTTGATGAAGATCAAAGACCACACATTCAGAATCTCAATGTAAAGGAAACAAAACTCCTCACCACTGGACCAATAAACAACATCCATATCAATGGAGAAAAGATTGAAGTTGTCATAGACTTCATTTTGTTCGGTTCAACCACAAATACTCACGGAAGCAGCAGTCAAGAAATCAAATGACGTATTTGTTGCATTAGGCAAGCCAGCTGCACAAGACCTCTTTAAAGTGTTGAAGAGTAAAGATGTCAATTTGAGGACTAAGGAGTGCCTGACCCAAGTCAGAATGTTTTTAATAACCTCATGTGCATGTGAAAGTTGGGCAGTGAATAAGGAAGACTGTAGAAGAGTTGATGCATGAGTTATGGTGTTAAGAGGAAAATATTAAAAGTACCAT